ATCAAACGCCGGCGCTGGCTATTGTCGGTTATCGTGTTTTGGGAACGCCAAAGCCGACGGAGAGCTTCTGCATGTTGTTCATCTTCTTCAGCCAACACCAGGTTGAGCGCCTTCTCCAGTGCCCGTGCGGACGGAAAAAGCGCCTGGAGCTAAGAATACACTTCTCGTAGGGGCGCGCCGAGGTCTTTGGTTGCCGCTTGCGACATGTAGTGCATGAAATCAGCCTTTAGCGACGAGTCGGTAATATGGATTTTGATTAAGCACGTCCCTAGGTTGAGAAATTGAGACACGGAGCGCATGCAATTGCTTTCTAAGGTCGTCTGTATGTACTGCTTTCTTTAAAACCAAAGCATGAAACATGACCATTTACTAATTTAGAGACGTAAATGTTTTGTTAATAGCTGGCGCAGCAGCACAATAGTAGGGACGTACCTTACGTCGAGGGCGACGACACAAGAAACATTCGTGCAGCTTATTCAGTTTGCATAGGTATGGCTGTCTAAGACATCACTATGTCGATAAACTGTATTTCGGTATTAAAACTTCCAGAATTTATGTTTTTCGAATGTTAAAAGGCTCCCAGAAGATAACAGAGCAGAATTTTCCTAGTCCACCCCGGTAAAGCTTACCGAAGCTGAACCATCAATCGGGTCCCAAAATAAAATTCAGAGAACATTTGCCAGAATATCGATGATTATGATGCTTCGATACGCGCGTTGCACCCAGCTAAAGTATATGTCGCCACTTCGCTTTGACCGCTGACCATGAACCCAACCGCCTGTTTTAGGATATACGGGCGCCCGCGTAAAGAAACAAATTGTACGTTGTTTTTGGTCAGGTGTTTTATTCTCACTATTCGTATTAGTATTTCCCATAGCAGAAGCAAGGGCCTTAAAAATGTATAAGTTTCCTCGTAAAGCACTAGCTTTAATGGAAGGGTTCTTATGATACGAATCTTATCCTCGCTAATACCCAAGGTTTCTCGCCTTGCTTAAAGCAAGTTGCTTCGCCAACGGCTGGTCTTGCTACAACTACACCGAGCGTGATGATCTGTCCGCTCAGCACTGGTCCAATAATGTGCGCGTCGATATCATGTCAATCTCAACTTTTGCGTACCAAAGCTGCGTGGGTTGCTCTCTTGAAAATATAAATGGCGGCCAATCAATAGTTTCTAGACAGACGTCAGGTAGCGGCTGGTATGATTGGGTCTTGTTCGGCTAGCTGGGCGAGAGACATCATGTGCGAATACTGTAATTTCGTGTCTATAAACAGCATTCCGTCTCTACAACGTTGGTTGCCGCTTGCGACATGTAATTCATGAAATCAGCCTGTAGCGACGAGTCGGTAACCGGATCGGGCCAATTGGTTATTGTGGCGTACGGGCATCGGTACTATTCAATCAATTCGCGTTGTTTGGATGGGATAGCAGTACGAAGTGTCAGAGCGGCTACAGCAGTTTAATTTGCTTAGTTTCGACTTTGGCTTGAAGTCCGAAAAAGCGTCCGCCACGCTCGATGTGAAACCGACGTAAGTCATACCTTTTGTGGTTTGGTACAGGGCCGGAATGAACCGACATACGAAGCGTATTCGGTGACACTGTCCAAATTCCGATGCTATCCCAGCCCCTGCTTCAGCCCTAGCTTTATGAGCTTTGTCTGATGCTAACGTCAGCATTAGCTCCTATGACTGCGGTGGGGTGCACGCGGTCCCCAATCATTATTGGATTTAAAAACGAGGGTGCCGCTCTTGGGACACCACAAGTCTAGCAAGTGGATTACCAGACATAGTCATCAAACTATATAAGTATTTTCGCTCGTCCTCTTTTGACTTCAAATTAGTCGCATTGCACAGGCAATCCGATGTGGTAGCTTCATAGTCACTTTTGAATATCTATCAATACACTGTTGAAGCTCCGAGTTTTGCACTTGCGTCTTTTTGTGCAATATTGCATACTTTGCACGTTTGTTGAAGATGCCCTCACTGGGCCATTATAGGGGTCATTTGCCCACTTTCATAAACTACGGTACTACTGCATTTGTTTTGCAAATCCAGGCACTTTATGGAGATAGAGAGATTTCCGTCTCGTCCACACAAAACGAAAAAGGGGTAAAATAATTCCTTTCGCGTGTGACTCGGGTGGCGCTTAAAGGTATACTATCAAAAGGGGGCATTTCGCGGCTTGGCCACAAAAGAGCTAATAGCTGGTTAAAAAGTAAATTTACAGTGGTCGACAGCACCGAGGACGCATTTTAACCTTGGTATTAAAATACACCAATCGAAAGCTCTAGCGCTACAAAATCTATTTGTATACGTTTCAGTGTGATCTGTCGAGTAGTTGTTTCAAAACACAGCTGTGAATGTTCTTTATTTTACTCAAGTCTAAATCATAAAACCTTTATATTCAAATATATATGTGTCACAAAATATTAGATATCATAAGCCTATAAAGTTAAAATAGAAACATATTATTGGCTAAAACAGGGAAAGTCTAGGAAGCAAGCTACAAAATCAATTTGCACGCTCATTACTTATGCTATTTCCCAGCTGTTTCTGGCATACAAGGATCATCATAAGTTTTGCCCAGCCTGAATATCGCATCAAAAAAGGTCACTAATTGCTCCAGCTACACAAAAAATCGTCCTCGATGCTGTCGACCACTGTTAGAAACCCGCATGCCCTTGCCATTATTTGAGCGTGCAACATTAAAGTAGAAACGTGAAATCCACATCGATTGGTTAGTAGCGGTTAGAGGGCTGCAAACGTAGCTGTTCCAGAGTCGAGCTTGACCTTGCCGAAAGTCAGAGGGAGCTAAATCGCATTATTAGGGTCCGATTATCTATATTTGCGCTTGTGGTGGCGTTTTCGCGATTAAAGGAGCAGTAAAAACAAGGCTTGAAGATCAGACACAGTGATATTTGTATCTGTTATGGCAAGGATAAGGCTTATACCTTTTTGCCGTTGCCATCCCTGGGCGCCTTCAGGTCTTCGCCCAAGTCGCTCATCAGAGCAACTTCCAATGTACGGTACCCTGTTTCTCGCTTTTGCTCCTTGTTCATACAAACGTTTATCAGAGCTGTTTTCAATATACGGTGCCCTCTTTCTATCTTTTGCTCCTTGTTCATAGAAAGGTTCGAGGTGAGCGGTGGAGTTGAGTGATCGGTAATGGGTAAAACCGGATATAATTTTAATTGATCGTACGATACGCGGTGTAAGCGAAATACTTTTAGAGCCAGCTTTAGCGGATCGGTGTAATGCTTTACGCAATGATCAGCCAGCTCTTGTTTGCCGGAAAAGATCGGTCGCAGCGCGACAAACGGGTCCAGTGCGACGCTGTCATTTGTATGAGTTGCAAATCCTCCAGAAACAGATCTCTCAACGACGATCTGCCGCCTCTTTAGGACAGACGTCATCAAAAGGGTTTCTTTCAGAGCCTTGATGAGGTTTTGCTTTGACTTAACTTTGACCAAAACTCGATGCCGATTTGAGCCCGATTTTTACGGTGACTTCTGGGTTTTTGCTAAGCTTAATGATTTGGTGTGGTGTCGACATGTATCTGAATAGAGGAAGTATTTGCGGTTCCCAATGATTATTGACATACTAACTCAAATTAATTTGTTCTTCGGTACCGGCTGTAAAGAGGGAATCAGAATGTGCTTAAGTAGGAGTTGCATTTGTACCGGACGCCGGTGGGAGTCAGGGCGTCTATTTACTACAAGTCACTTCGAGATTAAAACTGCTTGTGAGACAAATTGTCCCCAACGCCATATCAAAACCTTGCTGTAGCGCGCTAACATCTCGAACGTCGAGCCGCGATCCACTTCCGAGAATGCAATTCGGTGTAGGACGTGCACAACCATCTCAGAGGACGGCGCTCCTCGCGGTTTTCGGAAGGCATACACGACTCGTACACTGAGCTAATACCAGCGGGTCCACCTACTCGGAAGGCAATAGCGCTTCAAAGTCGATGGTCGATGGTGAAGGCTAATGCGGCCGGGCGGCCTTCGCTTTGCCTCAGGTTTAGCTGTAGAGCGCTTACAATCGGAATGTAAGTCATTGCACTAATGTGCCACTATTGTACTCTCATAAATAAAGTAAACATTGAGGTACCCAGTGGCTGGTCTGACGTGGAGGACACTAAGACAACTCTTTGGGAGTATTTTATTAATGCTAACGCCATGCGTGAATACGAAGAGCAATTAAAGCAGGGGCTGCAAAACGTGATGCAAAACCCCCGTGTGAGACCAGAACGTTTCCGCTTCTCTCACGGCTACGATGTTTTTCAACAGTTTATTTGCTTCTAGCGCGATGTACTTCACGACTCCGACCACCAAATGCTCCGGATTTTAATGTCGAAATAAAACCATATTTTCTAATGCACCTTTTTACGTTCAAAATTACAAATTACAAGTTCAATATGTCAAAATGTCATCGTAAAAAAACCGGACTGCATCAGCATTTTATAGGACCTCACTCGCCTACATCCTTTATCTGGATAGCACGTGCATGATACTTGACAGTGTGAAGTAAGCACTTGTAGCACAGATAAGGCGTTATAGCCTCACGTACGAGTAAATCAGCAGCGAGCTCCAGATATTCCTCTCGATTCTCCTTAATTGTGCGATTAGGCTGATCTTGCAGCACCGTTTTGCGGTGGCGAGCAAAGAAAAGCTTTAGCCTTGCTTTGAAGGCTGAGAAACAGTTCTTGATCGGGTTCAACATGGGAGAGTATGGTCCCTAACGCAAGAGCTTAGCGGCTGAGAGCGGCTCCTCTTCAAACACGTCATCTACGTTGGTGTGACAGGGGCGCTGTCACTTATGACTACGACATCGCTGCGTCGGGTAGTTCGGCTAATGTGCAGCAAGAGACGTCGAATGAACTCGCTGAATTTCGCCGACGTAAAGGAGCCAAACCGTTTTTTTTAATAGACCAGGCCCTCTTCAGAACTACACGCGATCAGATGAATGTTGGATCCTGCTTTTGTCGACGACTTGCTTGCCTATTAAGCTGCAATCGCTACTACGAGAGCACCACAGAATAAAGTTAGTCTCGTCGACATAGAAAACTTTTGTACCTTTATACTTGTACGCCAGCAGGTTCACGATGTAGTCCCGGCGTAGAATCTGGTTCACGGAAAGGTTACGATAGTTGGTTTCGCGTTAGTTTTTTTTAGTGTATATCCTGCCATCAATGTGGTGCTTGATCGTTTGGCATGCCACGCTGACATCAAATTTCGCCTCTAGGGCGTCAACCCTCTCAACCAATGTAAGGAAGGAGCTCTCGTCAATAAGCTCCAGCAAATAGTCGACATTTGCGTCGGTCACTTTGCCGTTGCGTCTGCCGCCACGTAGCTTTCGCGTTAGCGCTTCCACGTCTCGTTATTCGCCACGACACCTATATAGCGGTATGCAGGGTGGAGATTCACGTCTCTTTTGACAGCAACATCACGCCAGTCTTGTCCTGTTTGGGTGGCACACAAGACGCGCGTGGTAGTGGCGTCGTCGTAGAGCATTTGGACATGAAAGATATGCTTGATACAGAGGAAGTTGAAGAATAAGCGCAGGCTCAGGGGCTGAGGTTTGCAAGATCTGCGAACGGAGTCCAGTAGTTTTGGCGCGAAGCTTCCCGCCAGAAAAACACTGTACCAACTGGAATCCTTTAATTCTGTGATAAAAAGATACTATCGGTTTCAAACCCTATGACATTTTAAATTTACATTTTGACTATAATAATATATTTATTATTAATTCTTTTAAATATCGAATTACCAATTTGCCATTTTGAAGGTGAAAAGGTGCAGGACATGTAAATATTGAAATTAACCCACCGTTTCTTAGGACAATTAAATTAGACGAATGAAGTGATAGCCTCTAGTGACGATCGCGCGTGTTCCATTGAGCTTGGCAGTGCGGCTGGTCAAGAAGGATTTCAATCCTGCGCTGGTAGTTGAAACCTCGAGCAGCCTCTGTCAGTGGGTAAAACAGCGAGACAGCTCCAGTTGAAAGGACAGGTAGCCAAGTCGATTATACACGCTCAGCGCGCGTTAGCGAAAACAAATCGTCACGAAAGCACCGCTTGTAGTAGCCTAATCGAAAGTGGAACTCAATTCGAATTCACATCAAGCCGCGCGAGCCAAAACTGTGATGACAAATTTATGCCATTCTACAGAGGGCCTTTACGAATTCGGAAACCACTATCTCCTACTCCGAGACACGGCAAGAAAGTGCCCACCTCAACACGGACTGTATGAAGCTCTCGAGGTAAACTTATTAAACATCATGAAAATTGCGATGACTGACGAATGTCCGACGAATTCCGTCTAAGAATCACTCTTAGTTGCCGTCTGAAAGAGAAGAACGCCGGGCTCTCTTCAACGCTGTTAGTACGTGGCGGCCCACAGAGATGATTGTTAATGGACGGGAAACTATCGAACGTTGTTTAAGCTAAAAGCTAACTCAGCCATCCACTTTGCTATGAGGACAGGAAATTGCAACGGAAACAAGCGAATATTTTCTGCCAGGACCGGATCTTAGCGGTGGTTATGCTGGCTTGTACGCGGCTTTTTTATTCTATTTAGGCATATTAGATTCTCGAAATGGCTCTTTTCAACACCTACATCGACTCAGAAACGCGCAGATTTTTGATACGAATTTCACCAACGATCGTCGCTCATGTTACTCGCCGACATCGTTACGAATATGGATTATACTACGTAGTAGCACAATGTTTGCTACATTTGGAGGGTCAGAATAAGTAAAGGGGCTGCTCGTAGACACCATTTACTTCTGCAAGCTACGTTGTAGTGTATAGTAAATAAAAGCTAGTAAACTAATATCGTCTAAATCTTAATCGGCATAGCCGAGCTCATGTCGTGTTTGTACTTCTCGGTGAACATTTGACGTAGTTCATCTGTCGGTAGTATTGATTGGTGCTGGATATTTGAGCTGAGCATACCTTGCTCTTGCGAAGCCGTGTACCCATATACAGACTGTAGCGCTTTCCGATCATGCGTTTATTATCACTGATTATCATTTTTGTGATGAATTATGCAGCACCGCAAACGCCGTTTGAGAGTTACGATCTTTATACTTGACCTTGCAGCAGCTTCCAGCCCCAAATGGCATCTCTACTTATGTACGAAGCGCTCCTGAGATGACGCAGCATATTCTGCTTTTCATTTACGGAGGCTCATATACTCTTCCCAAGCCTTTACCTAAAGAAAAGGTTGCACAGGAATTATGACATTCAACCGGCCCTTAAATCAACTGCTGCGCAGACGATGCTTGACCATAGCTGCGCCGACAATCATGACGATGAGACACATTGAATCCGATAATCTTCCCTTCATGAAGAATTTCAATCATTTACGTCGGTACTAGTTGCAAATTATGTGTCATGTCACTTGCGACTTCGAAATAAAGAAATCTTACCTAAAATGCTGGAGGTAAATGCCTCTGCGGACTTCTAGTTATAAAGTGATCTATAGCCTACACTAAGTAGCAACGGAGAAGTTGTCTAAGAGATGGCGCGGAGAATGTTATGGGGGGCCCAAAAGAAGCTCCATTGTTTTTCCACGGCTAACGTACGTATACACTGTACGACACGTCTTTATCGACATGTCTGAAAGCCATACTGACCTCAATTTATTGGCATTGTCAGCTAGATACCAACGCATATGGCATGATGTATGACTATTTTTATTTTCTGGCGGCTGGATTTATCCCAAAATCATGTCGCCTCACTGCGTAAGAAAAAGGGTTACTTATTTGGAAGCGCTCGAAACTAATGTTCTTTGTACAGGCCCTGGTACACAGCAACGTGATCTCGCTGGATGTTAACCTGGTATTACCCCCCCGTCTTGTTTTCCGTACGTGTCTTCGCAGAAAACAAATCTCATTGCGGCTGTAGCTATAAGTGCGATTGTAATCGATATTTTCGTGGTTGATGCGACTCGGCTAAGCGGATATTCTGGAACGATCAGCAAAGTAAAAATGTTTTACTCGTATAACCATCGGTAATGCTGGGTGTTTATACTTTGAATTTTCTTTTTCAACGCCACAACATAAGCGCGAACCCTTTCGTGATCGAAAATCTTGACGACTATGCCAAATATGTGTAAAACGCGGCAAAGCCGCGTTTTGAGGTTCTCCGTTCGAAACAGACTGTTATAAAACATGATAGATTGTTTATAGAACGTGGCATTTTGCAGAGGAGTCGAGCCACAGCAGCCGCGTCGCTGATTCGTCAGAATAAAGGTGCTCTACCGATTGGCGGAGCTCGGTCAATCAGAGTGGCTCAAAATTGCAAGTTCCTAATGTTGGTTTCCCATCCTACGCCTTTCTGCATCATTGATATCCGATGTGTGATTTGTATGAGCTCCGCGAACCGAGTGTTAATATTGATCTCAGTATTCATCGTTTTGATCGAGACGTCGAGCAGACTCCTCTCCGAGCCAGTGATAATTAGCTGTAGCTGGGACTCATCCCATCACAGAAATATATTCAACAAAATCACATGCAAATAAGATGCCGGATTAGGCTGCAAACAAAACGTGTTTGCACTTCAAAAAAATGTTATTGTAAGAGATACAATAACCGTTAATTTTCAAATTTGACGCCTTGAGCCCATGCCGCAAAAACGCGCGCTCGCAGAAGATCAACCTGCAAGAAAGCAGTGTCCCCGGCGGGGCCAAGCCCTCAGCGATGACGCTACCAAATTGACGTCGGCGCTGGTCTTTAACGGTGTGTGGAGAGAGTTAAAGGCAGCTAGGTGAGCGTCCAAGCTTCCAAGTGACCTCGACGATCGATATCGGTATGTCCTCCCCGGTTGTCCTAGTAGCGGAAGAGGTGGCGTTGATTACCTGCTTGGGGACAAAGAAGTATTGTGGTACTTCGTACAACATTGTAAGTAATTTCTGCTCACCAGCGCTTACAACAATGCTGTCGACTCAAATGCATATAACTACCGCTATTGTAGGTAACCCTGGAGTCGTACAAAATGTCGGCGGACACCAACACGTAGATGATCATGCTTATCCCACTGCTCAAGTGACTGCAGCCAATGCCGACCACGACGAATGGTGCAGAAATGGATCTGGCGTAGCGGCTGTAGCTGACGACGCGCAGGACTTAGTCGCACGCTTGGAACGCAACAACATTGGTGGTGCATCCCTCACCCGTGGTATGGGTATGACTAGTAGCTTTGCAGAGTACGCTGTGTTGATGTGTGTACTCAATATATGTTTCTATGTAGCTCCAAGAGACCACGATGGTACCGTGGTAAGGCCACAACAAGCGGCCAGAAGGAGCACCAAACTAGAGGTGGTTTTCGTGCGCACCAGAGGTTGCGCAGCAACGAAGAGCAAGTAGCTATACCAGATGGTGGCGTTGGTGAGAATGACGATGGCGGTGGTGCTGAAGGTGTACTGGCCGAAGCTTTTCGTGATCTCGACAAAGCCGTTTCTACTATGCAGTCCTCTGTTGCTGAACTAACTGCTCCTGGAGCTGGTGGTGGCCACCACCGAGCTGCAGATCACGACGATTGTGGCGTGGTAACGTGTGGTGTGGATGGGGATGCAAGCTGCGGTAAAGGCAATGGTGTCGTCGCAATCACAGAAGATAGTGGTGGGCGTGGGCAGATTGCCAACCCACAAAGATGACAGCCTGACAGCGCTGAAACCGTGGGCGTTTTGAGTAGCCAATACAGTGTATAGGGCAGTGGGGGTGGTAGACGGCGACGAGCCATAGCGCGTCTTGTCTGCCTAAGCCGTGCAGTTGATGAATTAAGTCGGCAGGATCTCGGCCGCACCAATCCAATTATCGTAACTCGGGAAGCTGCCACCAGCACCTCAAGAACCAGCATTTCCTGCAGTCGCACCCTAGGTACACAAGCGATTGAACAGCTTTATTTCAAGGAATTGGTGGCGCTTTCACTGTCGAAAGAGCAGGGGATGACAAATAAGGTATACAGATGTGTAGGAACGGCCTACATCGTTTATCGAGTATGTTGCCGTATCAAGAAACCAAAAAATGGAGCTATTCTCCAAATGATGTGGCTTGTTAGCCAGTTTCAAATCACGGTGGATGCAGTCACTGTGGCGCCTGTGCAACGGGGTATCGAGAGCCATCAAGCTCTAGTGCGTGTACCTTATCAGCTGACATGGCAAGATCTGACCGACAATGGGACTGAAGAGGAGTTGAATTTGGAAGCATCACTTGATGAGCTTGAAGTTTTGTCGGCCGAAGCAAAATACGAGACGTACGATCTCGGCATGGTTTTGCCAGTAAGTCTTGCAGAGGTGGAAGCAGTCAAGAATATGCGTTTCGAGCCCGACACGGATATGGAAGCCCCGGCTGATCTGTATGAGCACTCAGATGATAGTACTACCGACACACGATTATTGCCAGCTTATAATCATATATTTGCCCATTTCGCTAGCTCGAGCTTATTTGCCTACATTCCCGTCTACGTTTGGAAACAAGTAGTGTCCTGGAGTCAAACAGCTACGCAGCTGTCAAGGA